CCTCCCTCCCTCCCTCCGTCCCTTCTGTTATTTTTTATATAGGGTCTGGCTATATGGTTCAAGCTGTTTTAGAACTCACTATGTATCCCAGGCTGGCTCAAACTTATGATGCTCTTGCCTCAGTCTCCCAAGAAGAGTCATTACAAACATGTGCTCCTAGGCATGGCACATTATCTTTCTTTAAAAACTTTAAAGTGGGGCTGAGGAATCTTCCTTAAGAAGGGATCTGGAAAGACAGTGGCCTGACATCGGGGCTGGGACAGCAGTAGCCCAGGATAGCCCCACTGGTCCCATCTTGATGGTGAACTCTTCTGGGCCCAGGAGGGTAGGTATAATTCAGCCTGTATGTGTAACCCTGGCACTGTGCTTTCACAGTGATTACATGCTGCATTAATTCACCATTTTGGCCCCACGCCTGGCACAGGTCTGGGCACACAGTCAGGTGCCTGGACTGTTTCCCCAAATGCTTCATCTTTAATTAACCTCAAGCTTGATCTCCATACATCTCATGCCATACTCTGCCCCAAACAGGGGAATCTGGCCTGTGTGTTTCCAATTCCTTTACACTTATCTCATCCCAATAGCGCTCTGCACGATCCGTTTGATGTCTAACTTCTGAGCCTGCTTTAAAAGTCAGCTAAGCCCCTTCCCGCTCAGCAATAGGAAGTCACATTTTTTTGCCAAGGATAAACTGACTCCAGTCCTGGTTGAGGTCAAGTTCAGTTTACAGTGTGGTGCCCATGGGGCTGGCGGGACCCTGTGAAGCAGAGTTCTAGAATCCTGCCAGGTCTCAGGCTAAAACCTGTCCACTGGGGCAGAGCTGGAAAGAATTCTGATGCCTGCCAGGATGCCTGTGGGACCCCTGACTATCCAATGAGTTGCCCAGAATCCTGCCATCTCAGAAGGGAGAAGTCTGCCAACCTTAGCATGGCAGTGATGCAGCCAACCAGGCGCCATCAAGCCTGCCAGGGAAACCCATGTGCAGTGAGGTGAGAGAACAGGACTGGAGTCAACATGCCTGGCCCAGCTATGCCACCTTGGAGAAGTCTCTCCTCTTTCTGGACTGTAGTATTACTCTTACTGTTATTGACAGGTGAGGGGTCTTTCCTGCTGTCAGGATCCAGGACTCCTTAAATAATGAATGAGCTACAAGGCCAGCTTTGAGCCATGGGCTGAAATTCAGCCCACATTGGCCTACTGTGGCCCCAGTCAACTCCCTGCCTGCCCACTACCATCCTGCTAGAAACCCCTGGCTGCAGGAACCAGCAGAGGGAGCTGGTGAAACAGCCTCCTTGCCTGCCATGGGAAGCTTGGGAGGGTTCCAGTTTGGGAGATCTGCCTCCCCTGGCACTTCTCCAGACAGGAATAGGGGCAGAACACAGTCCGTGAGACAAGGATCGTTTTTTCTATCACACTGATTTGGGGCAAGGGAGTAAACCTTGTGTGGATCCTTCACCTTCTTTTGGGGGTTCAGTGTCATCATTGAAACGGGGTCATCATATCTCACAGCACTAGTGTGAGGATCTACGAAGAAGGGAGAGTGCAGAGAGCCTACCCTGTGGCAGGCTTCTGGCCATGGCCCTCTTTACCATCGTTATTCCAATAACTGGTGGCTCCTGAACTCCATCACCCCTAAAACTGCCCTGTGCCCACTCCTGTCCTTCTGCCCAGCTCCCTTCGCGCAGCTATGGTTTTACCAGCCTCTCTTAAATGGAAGCTGGACCAGTGCTACTGGATCATAAATCACCCACTTGCTTTGTGACTTTGGGTAAACCCCATTCACTTTTGGGTCTCAGTATAGCTATCTGACCACGGGACTGGGTTCACCTGCCTCAGTACCAATCTCCTACTTTGATGGAAAACCTCACCAGGAGCTCCGGAGGGCCAGTCCACAGACACTCAGGACTTCAAAATAGCAGCATTTTTTTTTTTAAATTGTCCCTCCAGGGCCCCCGCACACATCCAGGGATGGGGAGGATGGTTGGCCACCATGCCTCTGGCTATGAAAATCAGCTTCACAAGAGCTGGGGCTGCCTTTCTGCCTGCCCTCAGAGGTACCTACAGTGGGAGAAGCCAAGCCTGACTAGGAAGCTTGGGGCCAATTCAAAGCCACAGTCCACACAGGTCACAGAGGTCACGGGAACCTGGGCTCCTTCCCTGGGTTGGTGTTGGGGCTAATTCAGGGACTATAACATAGGCTACATAAAAATAGTTTTTATCGATAGAATAAATACATTTTCTCTTTTAATATGGACACATATTTTACAAAAGAGCCCCATAGCACTATGGGAAATTAAGACCTTCTACAAAAAAGAAGATGTAATTTGGATGCAATAAAGTTCTGGTGTTTTTAAGGTTCCTGTCCTGTGTGAACTGCCTTGAGGTGTCAGCACCCATCTGAGGTGGTGTCAGATGGCGGGCATGGTCACAGACTCCTGTGGCTTCTCTGGCTTCTCTGCAGGGGTGGTCAAGGTCAGGATGGCCCAAGGGTGTGTAGCAGGAAGGGGGCGACGATGGTGGCAGCGATGGCAGGGGGGAGGCCCCGTGTGGGCGCTGAGTCGCTGGTAGGCCCCGCAATGTCCTGCTGCCGGAGTTGGTGTGCGGGCTTGACAAAAGGCTTGGTGGTCCCGGAGCTGGGAGTAGGCTGGAGGGGCAGCGGGGGCGGCGAGACAGTGGTGCTGGAGGGAGGAAACAGTACCGGTCAGCAGCCTCCTCCCGGGAAGAGAGCTTGGGGTTCCGCTCTCTCTTTACCAGGCATCTTAGGGAAGAGGAAAAGTCCAGAACCCCACAGCCAGCTCAGCTGACCTCCAAGGACAGGCTGGGCCCTACCTGTGACCAATCATGAGGGTAGGTCCCAGGCAGAAACAATTGCAAAGTCAAGGAGGAGATAGCTCTGAGGTTCCCAGAGTTCCACCTGTCTACAGGTGTTCTGCCCCCTTGTTGCTCCTTCCAAGGTCCTTGAAGGTGGCAGAACACACACACACACACACACACACACACACACACACACACACACACACACACACTTTAATTTTCACATCATCCTATCTGCCTTGGTTGGAGCTTCCCCCATGCCAGCTGTTCAAACAAGATTTCCATCGTCACAATAAGCCTTCAGAATGGGTATTACCACCCCCTTTCAGCAACGGGGGGGGGGGGGGACCTCGAGGACACTACCTGGTAGCCGGGTTCTGGGGCAAAGCAGGTTTGTACACCCACGGGGAGGAGAGGAAAGACTGTTGTCTCTCTCAGAGGAGGCAGGCATGGTGCTCCTAGAGTGTATATGAAAACGGGGCTGAGCCAGGGGGTAGCACGTTTTTGCTCACAGAGCCCAGTGGGCTTTGTTTCCTGCCATGCTGGCCTTCAACCACATGGGGCTTGTCACGATCTCACTATACGGGGCTGCTTTACCCTCTGCCTCATCCCTGTCACATCCACTGCCTTGCTGTTACTGTCTCACTCACCTCTAGAGACTTGGCCCGGTACCTTGAAGAGCGAAGGCTCACATAAAACACTCTCCACTTCCCACTGACCTCACTGTCATCATGGGACATATGTTATATGAGGGTTCAAGAACAGGTTTCTACTGAGGAGTCTTAGAACAGTGCCTGGCCCTGGGAGGTGTGGGAAGGCTTGTTTTCTGTTTTGTTTTTTAAATCGATCCACAGCCAATCACTAGACAGAGCTAGACAGGAGTCCAGTCAAAGAGAGAGAGGAGGGATTCTATGAGCAAGTGCTTCAGGATCATGATGGGGAAACATGCAGGGACGACCAAACCAAACTAGAGGGAACTCATGAAAGTTGGATCAATGGCTGTGGAGCCTACATGGGACTGGACTAGGTCCTCTGCATGGTGACACAGTTGTGTAGCTTGATCTGCCTGGGAGGCCCCCTGGTGGTAGGATCAGAATCCATCCCTGGTGCATGAGGCGGCTTTTTGGAGCCCACTACCTATGATGGGACACCTCCTGCAGCCTTGAGGCAGGGGGAAGGGTTTGGACTTGCCTCTACTAGATGTGCCTCCCCATGGGAGGCCTTCTCTTGTGGGTGGAAATGGGGGGGTGGGTTGGGAGGGGAGGCTGGGGCTGGGTGTGGGATGGGAGGAATCTTCAATTGGTGTGTAAAATGAATGAAAAAATTTTCTTAATAAAAAAACCCATCATTAATATTTTTGTGTCTCTGCCTCTTCCACTAATAACATCTTTCATTTGCAATGTACTTCTGAGTACAGGCAGTCACCATGCTCCGTGCAATACCTGTGCCACATTACTGTTTCTGTTGAGCTTGAAGGTGATGAGGATTCTTAACTAGATGAGCTGCGCTGGGGCCATCTGTTTCTGTAGCATGAACTGTGAGCCTTAGTGAAGTGCACTGTTTCCTGGTAAGACCTTGAACATTGATGTGCAGGTTCCAGGGTCAGACTGAGGCCTTGCTGGCTGTAGCCCCTGGAGGGGATTAATGCCCGTGCCTAGTAGAGGTCATTACCTCATCCTCTACCCTCCTCCTCTTGTCTAATGAAAAAGAAAACTGCAAGTAACACACACACACACACACACACACACACACACACACACACACACACCATAAAAGTCCATGCCTAGCTGCTGCTGTGTGTCCCATCCTGGGTAGTTGGGAGGCTCTGAGAGTTAGCTTCAGGGCAGCGGGCTAGGTGCCCTGTGAGGTGGCTGGAGCCAGGGCCCAGGCTGTCCTTGGGGGGCAAGACCAAATGGGAATTACGTCTCACAAGGCACCTATAGGCATTTTCTTTCACACTTTGAAAAATAAAGATGAAAACTCTCCCTTGGAGCCCAAGTGGGGTTTTTATTGCTTGGAAAGAGTCCCAGGAAAATGAAGTGGGACTGGGGGGCGGGGATGAGCCCCTCTGAACACAACCTCCCCCCTTCCTTCCTAGCTTACTCAGCTCACAAAGTTGGTCCCCAGTCCAGGTCCCCACCCCCTCCCAGGCTCATGCTGGGGAAAATTGTCTCATGGCACAACGGTCTAGAGGCCAAACCAAACACACGGCACATTCCCAGGCTCTGCAGATGGCTGGCACTGGGGGCTAAGTCTGCCCTGAGCAGACAGGACCCCAAGTGTGAGAAGGCCCCTCTCTGGCTGACTGGAAGACAGAGCTCTGTGCAAGTCTGGGATACCTCCTTGGCTTGATCTGTAAATGTGGGCCAATACTGTTTTCTAGGCCTCAGTTTCCTGCTCTACACAGAGAAAGGGCAAGAATGGAGTTAGGGACTTTGAACTGCTTCCCAGCAGTAAAAGCCGGAAGTAAGGTCACAGGCAGAAATCCAAGGGCAAGTATAGACAAGTGAGGCTAGTTGCCCGGCACTGTCAGTTGCCACCCCTTCCTGGAGGTTCCCTGGAGCAAGGATGAAATCTGGCACTAGAGGTCTGGAAGAGCCCTCTGGAACTCAGTCCTGGGCATCACTGACATTAATTTTCTTGCTAATATGAGGAGCTGGTGGCTAACTAGGAGGCACAAATGTACTTTCTGCTCTTTGAAAACCAAAGATGAACGCCCCCCCTCGCCAAAGCCTAGAGTTTTTTATTGCTTGAGTGGGGTCTCAGAGAAGTGATGGGGGGAGGTGGTTGGTGAAGAGGACCAGCCTCTAGTTACTTCCTTAGAGACCCTCAGAGAGATGCAGGGGGCACCAGCCTTGGAGAATGCAGGGCCTGGATGACAGGATCCTCTAGGTCATCACTGCAGGAGAACTTGTGATTCTTAATTGGATTTTGGCCGCTTTGGGCCAAGAAGTCAGATGTAGGCAAAGACCCAACTTGCTCAGCTTGCCTGCTGCTTTCCCCTGCCTCCACCCGGTACCTGGAGCCTATCAGCTTTCACATCTTGTGCCATGATTCCTTCCCTGGGAATGCCTTTACTCTTCCCTCAACCTTGCAGACTGTGGGTTAACTGTCTGATGCGTTCTAATTGCTTCATTGTGGGCCAGAGGTGGGAGAAACTTTCTGTCCTGAGATGGAAAATGGGCCCCTAGATGGGAATTGCCAGGGCCTTGTGGAGCTGAGGCTCCAGAGCCTTTTCGGTGACACTATCTTGGGAGCCATATGTCACTGTCTACCACCAGCACTAATCCACAGTAACGGGTGACTGGTGTGTGTCCAACATGTCTTTGCGAAATTGGGGGTGGTATTCCACAGCTCCCACCCATTGGCTCACTGATGGCTTTAAGTCTAAGACACACTGAAGGATTCAAGAAAGAAGCACCTTGCTAGGGAGACTGATCCCAAGACACCCCAGACCAGAGACTCTGGAAGTAACACTAGCAGCAGCCACTTCAGGGTCACTGAGGGGTTGATGTTGGCTGTACTGGCATCTCCTTACTGTCAAAGCCCTGTGGGGTGGGACTGTAACACTACTGTCTCATTCTTTCAGTGTTTTTTTTTTTTCTCTTTTTTGATGACTGAATGACTTCATTTTCCAACCCTCATGGGGCACCACCCACTTCAGGGGGTGGGGTTCTGGCCTGGCAAGGACACTTTAGCTACCCTGGACTACCCCACATTGTGAGGAATGAGGGGAATATCTTGAGCAGGACAAGCAGCAGACAGGAGGTGTGCAGATCCCTTCTGTACTGTGTTCCCTCCCATCGCTGAGGGCTTTGACACGTGCACCATGTACGTCCTGTACTTGCCTAGTGGCACTCACCAAGTCTGATACATACTGATGCTCACCTCTGGGCCAGGCTTTGGCCAATGCCCAGCAGCTGGAAGGTGTTCTCTTCTCTAGATCTGTGCATCCTCAATGTGCTTCCAACCCAGATGTGCCAGTCACTGTGTCTCCATCTGTCTCCCTCTTACACACACACACACACACACACACACACACCTGTGTGCTTGCAGACTTGGGGACACGGAGAATGAGAGCTGGCATAGCCTCCAGAAACCAGCCAAAGCCCTAATGGAGCAGGAATCACTTTAGGATTGCCGCAGGCCCATGTTTTATGGGAATGGTCTCTGTCCTGGCTTGCCCTGGTCACACCTTTCCATGCTGTCTCCATCTGTGCTCAGAGGTAAGGGATTCCTGAGAATGCTCCGCTGCCATGCATCCGTCTGTGGACACGCTCGGCCCTTTCCACGGGTCCCCATAAATCATCCTGCCACAGGCCGCTGCTACTCTAAACTTCCTCCACTCTGTTTACATCTCGGGGTAATGAGGGGCGAAGGGAGGCCAGCCTGCTCCAGGTGGTGTCCCAGCCAGGCACTCACAGCCTGCACCCCTGGTTCCCTTCTCCTCAGACTCGAGCATACAGTCAAAGACCCTTCCCACCTAGTGAGGCCTCGGGTGACCTGTGGCCGTCCAAACCAGACAGACCTGTGCCCAGGATTCCCCAGCCTAGAAACAAAGGCAGAGAAATGTAGTGTGGGCAATGGTGCCAAGAAAAGGGCTCCCATAGGTGTCTAGGGCAGACAGGAGAGCTCAGCCAGGTGAGGATGGGAAGAGCACTTCAGTGGTGGGTGGCGAATATGAACCTGAAGAGTTGGAGGACAGTTCTGTGTCTCCATCTCTCAGCAAATTCACTGATCTGGATGACTCTGATTCCTTCCCTGTGAAACAGGCCTGCTTCCTGTGACTCTGTATAGGACTATGAAGTGATGGATGTAAGTGCCCGGCACAGTGGGAGCTTCACAAAGGCCTGCTTGCATGCCACCCTAAGCAGAGAGAAGCAATAGCATGGGGGGGGGGGGACAGCCCAGGGTGGCCCATAACCTAGAGAGGATCCAGTGGAGGTGGAAGGTGGAAAAGAAGGGGAGAACCCTGAGGCAGGCAAGACCAGAGACCAGAAGACCCTCAGGGGCCCTGGTGTAGGAGTGTAGATGGAAGACGGGCAATCAGAGGTGGAAGTGGAGAGCCAGCTCCAGCTGGATTTCAGAGCAAAGTGAGAAGTGGAATAAAACAAATCTCTTTGTCAGAAGGGCTTCAGATGAGCTCCACTCTTGTCCTCTGCTCCTTCTCAGAAAACTGGAGACTTGGGGAGTCTGGGAAGGTGGAATGGGTCCTTTGCACATGGGAGGGAGCCTGTGCCCTGTACTTGGACTTCCCAGGGAGTACAGGGCCTGCTTTCTCAGGAAGCAACGAGGAACTTTAAGAACTGCTCTTTGGTGGAACATTCTCTTCCAACCTGAGCAGAGGGAGGTGCATCAGCCAACCACAGTTTTACCTGCTGGGGTGGAGAAGGGTTTCCCTCTGCCAAAGAAAAGCTGCCTTCTTCCCCGGAAGCCAGGGCCTGCATTCCAGATCCTCTTTTTACAAAAAGGAAACTGTCCGGTGTCATTTGTCTGCCTTTCCCTTTCAGACACAGGTAGGGACTGGGGGCTCATTACCAGAGCTGACAGCCTAGCCTCCTGTTAGTTACCCCATGAGTTAAGAGTCCTCAATTGACCAGGACTGTGAGTGACCAGACTATTCAGAGCTCCTAGTAGACTGCTGGTAGCCTGTAAGCTTGCCCACACCTGAAAGATGCAGCTTTTTAAAACTCTAGACTCTTGCACCCAGTTAGGCAGAGCAGCCCACCCTGGGCACCCAATCTTAGTGTGTCTCAGCCAATAAAGCTACAGTGATGCCTCTGTGGTGGCATCTGACTCTCCTCAGAAGTACATTCTCCAGTAGCCCACAGGAGGCGCTGTGGCACCAACACCTAAAGGCTCAGTGGCTTTGATGCCTACCCATTAGAAGTCTTTTCATGATAGTGCATGCCATGCTCTTTGTGATGAGGCCTGGACTACATCAATCTCTTGTCACTAGCTCAGTCACCTGGCCGTAGAAGAGCCAGGAAGTGGAAGGTACTGGTTGGTCAGCTTCTGGGTCCCTGGGTGGCCCCGGACAGGCTCTCTGGCTCCATATCTTGGTTCATATTCATGAATACACAGTTGGGCCAGAACTCCCTAGAGCTGCTTGGAACCTCCTGGAGCACACACCCCAGGCCTCTTCCCTCTGACTCTCAGGCGTGAGGTCTGTGTGGGGCTGAAGATTTACTTACTTAACAAGTACCCAAGGTGATTCTGTCCAGGATGCTGAGGAAAATTCTGGATGACATTAAGATCCGGACTGGAACTCTGGGTTCTGAGGTTCCACTGCCTAAACATCAGATCCAGGAATGGGCTACCACAGTGGGGGAGGACTCCGGTCCATTCCTGAGACATTCCTTAGTGACACTATTCACTATATGTAGGGATTTCTGCCATGCAGCTGACTCAGGGAAATTGCTCTGGAGAGGAACTGAGTGAGGGGTGTTAGACAGAATCTTGGAGCAACAGGAGCTTTGGCGACAGGCTGAGGCAAGAGGTGTCGGCGGCAGGAGGAGCATATGGGAGGAGGGTGGGAGAGTGCCAGAACCTCAGGCTGTGTTCTGTACCTGCCTGTTTACAGAAAGGCTCTCAGTGACACTCTGGAGCCACAGCATCCCTCGCCTGGTGTCCCTTTCTCTCACGGGGTAGGGGCCCCTCAGAGTGTCTGTGCTCTGGTGTCACTGCTCACACATCCCAGCACAGAAATCTGACACTTCACGGCATATCCATCCTGCCGTGTTTGCTCCTGCTTTTATCCCCATCCATGGGACAAACGGATCAGGGGCAGGCCAGGCATGGTAGACTTCTGTTCGTGGCGCCGGAGGATGCTTCCACGTCTTCCTTTCAATTTTACTAATTAACCGAGTAATTACTGGCTGTCCTGGGGATTGAGGCCAGGGCCTTGTGCATACCAGGCAGGAACTCTATCATGATGCGACATCCTCACACTTCTACTTTTTTTTTTTTTTTTTGGTTTTTCGATACAGGGTTTCTCTGCGTAGCTTTGCGCCTTTCCTGGAGCTCACTTGGTAGCCCAGGCTGGCCTCGAACTCACAGAGATCCGCCTGACACTTCTACTTTTTATTTGGAGACAGACTCTTACTAATTGCCCAGGCTGGCCTCGAACTTGTTATCCTCTGGTGTCAGCGTTTCAGGCCCCATGCCACTTTTAAACTGCAGAGAATTCTACTTGCTGTTATGCCGAGAATAAACCTCCAAAGTCAGATGTGTACATGTTTGATGTGCCCCAGAAGGTACCCCTGGAGATCCTCAAGAGTCCGGAAAGACTGCCTCTAAGCTTCCCCTCTGACCCTTCTGTCCCTGCTTGATCAGAACAGGGTCTGGGGCAGTGCACTAGGCCCCAAGGGAGGCTGACAACTAGCTCCTAGGCAGCCTGTCCCTTCCCAGCTCACCTGTCCTCGATGCGGACCCAGAGGTCGTTGAACTGCCTCGGCCGCTGGTGTTTGTTCAGCCTCTTGCGCCACTTCTGGCGCCCGAACTCCTCCAGCTGGCTAAGGCTGTCGGGGAGCAGGAGGTGTGGGGACAGGACTGGATCTTCCTCCTCAGGAGGGCTGGTGGGGGTTGCTGAGGTTGCTTCTGGGACTGCAGCAGCTGGGGTTGCTGGGGCTGGACTGGCCGCAGAGGTGCCCTCCGGAGAGGGAGCTGGGCTCCCAGTAGCAGGACTGCAGGGTGGAAGAGAATGTGAGCATGCCATATGTGCAATGGGGGGGATGCAGAGGGAATGTCATCGAGGAAAGGGAAGCGGCCCTGCTGGGGCAGGCTGGAGGGACCCAGGGCAAGCACTGTCTGTTAGAGTGGGAGATACAACATGGATTCCCTCTTTCATCTTCTAGTCCACGAACTCCCTGCAGCCAGCACTTCCTAGAAATTAAGTATCAGCAGTGACCCAAACAGATGCCCCCGCTGCAGTTCATACCCCACAGTGGGAGACAAACACACAGGATATCACGTGGCCACACTGCTGAGGAGGAGAACATGAGCATATGGTGGAGACAGGTGTGGGAGCATAGGGATGGACAAGGAGGTCTATGCTTATTATTTCATTTTGATCAAGGTTTCATCAGCAGTACCCCTGGCAGAGGAACTCTAGGTGAGTTATCTAACTTTGCTGTGCCTCAGTCTCCTATAACATGGGGGTATGATGGTCCTGTACCTTCCCGGGGACATGGTGAGTTTATAGGTAAACACAGGTGAAGGGCTTAGAATGGTGCCTGGCAGTGGCAGGCAGCCCAGGCCACTGAGTAGCTTATGATGGTCAAGCTGTTTGTGTGCATTGGATGTCTATGGTTCATCTTTTGAATGGAGGCAGGATAGGGATGCCACTGGAGCTCAACCTGAAGACTGATACATACAGTCCACATCCCACTTGGTAACACATGGCCCAGACTGCTGGATGGGTAGCGCTTGGAAAGGGGATGGAAGAACATTGCTACCCGCTTCGTCAGGATGGTATGCACAATGCCTGATACCTACAAAACCTCTCTGACTCGGGTCACCAAGCAAAAGGACCTGACTGTGCAGGCCCTCAAGGGTCATTTAGTCATGTTTGTGGAATTCGTGCTCAAAGTAGGGGTATGCCTCTCAGCCTGCAGACACTCTCTCTTTTATTCTTTGCCTTCTGTCCCTCCAAAGGAATTCCTTGGGGACATCTGGCCCCTGAGGTTTAGAAGTGGTTTTAGGAATTGTGTCCAAGCAAACAGCTTGCAAGGGAGGTGGTACCCGGGACTGAAAGCAGCCTCTCCTCCCATCCTACCCTCACACTGCAACAGTGAGTGGGTGAGGGGCTTCTCTCTCTTTGAAGAGAAAATGGCCATTGGCTCAGCTCATCCTCCCCCAGCCCCCATGGCAACTCCAGACTCCCAGGGTCCAGGCTATTGGAGATGCTGCAGCTGTTGAGGAGATAATTCAAAACAGTCAGACAAAAAGATAGCTACAGGAAGCACCTGTGGCCAAGGATGGCTTTTATTGTCGTTTGCCTCCTCAGCTTCCCCACCCCCTCTGCCCTGCTAGCTCCTTCATCCCCCTGTACAGGAGACTAAGGCTGAGAGTTCTCTGAGCAGAGCTTCCAGCAGAGCCAGTGGGGGCAGAGGAGGGGATCTCCTCCTCTAATGCCTGCGCTCCAAGATGAATAGGAGCCTGCTTGCCTCCCTTGCCTGCCTGGCCACACACAATGAGCTTCAAGGGAAAGATCCTTGGGGGTGTGGGGAGAAGGGTGAAGTGAGAGAACAGGAGGGGACTAGAGGAATGCCTTGACCCTGAGGCTACCCTGCATCCCTTATTCCCCAAATACACCTGCCCTAGATCCCTCCAAGACTTCTGGCAGAGCTTGGGGAAAGTGGTGGGAGGCTGGGATGGAGTCCCAACACTGAGGCTCGTAACTTCCTATAGAAGTCACAGGGAACTGGGTGTGTGTGGTATGGAGCAGTCTGTGCTCTGGGGACCCAAGAGAGCTTCCTCTCCAAAGGTCAAGGTCTCAGTCACTCTTGAGCTCTCTGTGCCTAGAGTAGGTACTAGAAGTAGTCAGGAGCTGAGGGAGGCCACAGAATCAGACTGTCGTACAAATGTGTCCTTCTGCAAGCGAGTTCACAATAGGCTCAGATGCCCTAAGTCAGGAATATTTACAGTTCCTACCTTGCAATGAGTTAGACACATACAGAGTGAGTACCACATGGAGTAGCCGCCAATACCACTTGTCTGCTTGTCTGTGACTAAGGAAGCATTTTTTGGTCTTGTAGCCATAAGGCCAGGGGCTGAAATCACAAAGGGGCCATCCTTGTGGGTTGGTGAGGTTCCTGCATAAACCCATAGATCTCTGAGTTTGAGGAGCCTGACACTTTTCAGGAGATCTCGAGTCTGGTTATTGCCCGATGCTGGAACTATAGAAGCTGAGACAGGCAGAGCTGGGCCCTGCCCCGGGGAAATTTCCAGGGTGGTGATAGGTGGGGTGGTCTAGAATAGGAACCCACACAGGAAGAGGTTGGGAGAGGGGCTCTGTGGGCAAAGTGAGAGTGTCCTGGCAGGAGAGTTGGAAGCTAGGAGCACAGACTGAGGAGGCAATGGAGCAGATACAGGCAGGAAAGAGATGATCATCAGTGGGTGGGACAGCCAGAGGGCTGTGCAGTGGAGATGGACACAGGGAAGAAAACAAACTGTAGCCTCTTCTTCCCAAGGCACCATCTGCCATGGCTGTCCATTGGCTTTCAGCATGACTGAGGTCACTTATGCCCCTGCCCAATCTACTTGTATCTGAACCCCAAGCATCTTACGAGTCCTCATTCTGCCCCCATTCCCACTGCACCAGGCAATCCCCAACAATACTGCATACCAGCCTACTCACCCCATCTATCACCTTCTAGTCACAATGCTTGGTCCAGCCTATTCCCAAGAGGGACCCCATCTCACAGCATTCTGCTTCACAGCGCTCACTGAGGCCTGACCAGGTCACCGGGGCAGTGACCACAGCATGTGGTGAGGTAGCAGTCAGCCAGCCAGCTCCAAGATGCCACCATATACCCTGATGCTTACCTGTGGATGGCTTGCCCAGCAGGTGTGTGGTCCACCTCCAGCCCTGCCTGTCTTAGGACATCGATGACAGTGTTGTTCCCCAGAAAGTGACCTGGAACAGAAGATGCAGCGTGGTCTCAGCCACATGCCAGGTTGTCATCCAGTGGATATATGGCCATCCCTTGGGTTTGTGTCTGGGCTAATGAGTTATACCAGTGGAGGTTCCCCAAGGGTCTCCTGGATGGGTATTGGGACAAGGAATGCTCATATGTCAGCAATAGGGTTCCTTTACATCCAGGTAGTGTGTCCCAGTAGGGAGATATAAACCTGGTCCACCCAGCCTGTATTCACACCCCAGCTCTGCTCACAGGCTGCATCTCTGCATGCTCCAGTTTCCTCACCTGTCAAGTGGGAGTAATTATAATCACTTTCTCCAACCTGTGAGGACTCCAGAGATCAGAGGCTGGTGTGCAGCAGCCTATTGCATCACTGTGCCTAACGCCACTAAGCTGACCCTAGGGCCAGTCCACCTAAGGTGGGTAGCCTACAGCAGTCATGAAAGGCCTAGCTCTAAGAAACCCCTCAGCTCCACGGGTCTACGGCTCCTCTTTGTAAACTCCATCAGGAACTCATGCCTCCTTTCCTTAGTGCCCCAAGAGCCCTCCAGGGGGCAGAGACCACCTTGTCATAGCCTTACACATAGTCTTACACATGCTCAGCATGTGCTGGCTGGGTCTAAGCATTTAGATTAATTTTTTCACCATGTATCCATGATTGTCTACATACTAGAGAAGCCATAAAACCCTCCTGAATCCAGGACCCCAATGGACAGTGACCTAAAGGTGGTGCAAACAAAATGACTCTCCTAACATGGTCTTCTGTGTGTGTGTGTGTGTGTGTGTGTGTGTGTGTGAGGTCCATCTCACCTCGATTCTCTCAACAAGCATTTACAGTGCACCTGCTCCATATGAGATACCATAAATACACAGAGGCCCAGAAGAAGGGAGTGAGTGGTCTCCCTTTACCAGCACACAGGTAAGATGTCTGCACCTCTTCAAGCTCTGGTTAGGGAGAGTTCAGGGGAGGCCAAGTGATTGTGGACATAGGACAGCCTAGGTTAGGCCCTGCCCTCTTCCCAAGCCCTGCCTCCTGGCCTCAGTCTCCCTACGTTTGCTGTATGAGCAGTTTGGGTTGGCCTATGCTTCCTGAGTGCTCCAGCATCTCCCCACGCTGAGTCTGCCTCATGGTTCCACATGCAACACTGCCTTCCTGCTTACATTTAGCTCGGAACCTGGGCATGGGAAGCAGGGGGTTTGATCACTGTCCCCTGACTCTGATTGCCTGTGACAAGTGGTGACAGGTAAGAAGCAGGAGGGTCAGCATGCTGACAACCCCAGGGAGGTGGAGAACACAGTGGACAACCCGGCAGGCAGAGACAAGCTCCTGACACGGAGTCTGCGGGGCCTGTGCAGTAGCTGGAGCGGAGGGGCCATGCTCAGCTTGACACACCTCCCCAAGTCCAGCCATGTCTCCCTAGCTGGTCAGTCAGAGTAGCTGTGGTTCCACCTGGAGATCACTGGAGTGACTACCACACAGGGAAGGCTGCTAAGGGTTCTATCCAGGATCTGCTACTCTTCCTCTGAACCCCTGGGCATGTAGGGGACCTCCCAGTGTCTGTCTTCTCTAGGTCAGAGGGTGAGGTTGGAGTGCAGGATGAACATGGCTCATTTCATGGTCCATGGGGGAGAGTTTTGTTTCATTAAAAACCCCCATGAAAAGATATTCTTCTTTCTCTATCCTTCCCTCCCTCCTCCTTTCCCTTCCTCTTTTTTTTTGTTTTTTTACTTTCCTCCCCTCTTCCCCTTCCTTTTCTTCTTGATTCTCTCCTCTTCTCATATACTTATGGCATTGGTTTAGTGAGCATTGACTATTGCATATCCCATGACATAAGTATATGACTCTGGTCTGTATTGAGTTAACAGAGACTAACCAGCACACTGGCTGAGGGAGAGACACAGGCTTGTCCTCAGCATGCAAGGTGAAGGCCAGATTCTGGGGGACCTGATCACACCTGTGCTTCTGTGTCAAGATCCTGCCGGCTTTGTCTTCTCCCAGTCTTTGCAAACGCTGCTGCCCTCCACCTGGAGCCCCTCCTCCCGTCTCCACTGGACTCCCATCCTCACCTAGCAGTACCGCCTTCTCCAGGAAGTCTTCCCTGTCACCACACTAATGCCTCACACACGTGCACAACTTCCTGTGACGTCTTGTGCATTGTAGGTCGTTCCCAGATCCCGAAAGCCAGATTCTGAGACAGAGAGGGGCTCCCGGTGGAGCGATGTGAATCCTTCACGCCCAGCCAGTATTCCTGACATTCCCCCTTTCTGGTGTTCGGTCTCATGAGACCCACAGCTGCACCTTCATAGTGTCCAAGCCCCCTTCTGGCCTGTGCATTTCTCATCACGCTCTTACTCTTCTGGTGACGCTCTTGGTGGGCTCTCTTCTGCCCAGTCCAAGTATGAGCCTTGGAAACTTGCTCTTGGCCTCTTTCCTCTTCATCCTGTTCACACTCAGCTACCAACCTCATCTCTGGAAAGTTCGGTGAGCCACAGTATTGATGACTCTGGAACTGCCCTCTACTTCAGACACAGTGGTGCCCAGTGGCCCATGGACATTTCCACCCAGCCCTTCCAGGGAGGGAGCCCACCAACCCTGCTTGCCCTCTCTCCATGCTGGCACCCTGCCTCCACTGGACATTGCTAATCAAGCTACACTGGCCCTCATCCTCCCACAGCCAGCAGAGACCCCCCGGATGTCACCTCTCAAATACACTAGACTGCCCAGCCACTACCACCTGCAGCAGAACTCCAGAGATCACCGTTCTTTAGTCCCTTCCCACTGCAGCTAACCTGACCTGCCCACAGCCCAGAGCTGACTCTGTTGGAACATGCTCTCTAAGAGCCACCTGATGGGGGTGGGGGTGGGATATAAGCTTTTTGAGGGTGGGACCATGCCTGATTCATCTTTGTCCCCAGAGTTAAGCCCAAATCTGGCGCACCACCGTGGCTCCGTGAATGTTTGTTGAATGAATGAGTGACACAGCTTGTTACTCCACATCCTTTCCATGAGCTCATCCTGTCCCCAGGAGACCCGAGTTTCCCCTGTCCTTGTAGCCCAGCCCTAGCCCTTGGTGATTCTCCCCAAGATCCCACCAATTCTAGGAGCTTGGCCCCTATGCAGGCCAGAGTCAGGGTCCAGCGGATGCTGTCCCTAGGGGTTGGCAGAGAGGCCTTAGGCTTGCCTCCAAAGTTGGAAATTCTGGACAAGGCACCACCCCCATGCTGGAACCTGCAGGCAAGGTGGTGGAAGGTTTCCAAAGGGGCCCCACAATGTTGGGGCTCAGCCTGCTTGGCTTGCCCAGCCTCCCTGGGGCTCCTGGCCACCACTCAGCATCTCCCTCCAGCATTAGCTTCCAGCTGTTCTCTGGCCAGCTCTCTCTGCAGGAAGACACGTTCCATTTCACTTGCTGAGTCCAGAGAGGACCACAGAAGAGGAAGGAGAGGGTGGGGTACAGGGAGCCAAGGAGTCAGGAGGGAAGCAGGAAGAAAAGCAGAGGGACTATCACAGGGTAGAGGTAGGGGTGAGTGGGGAGAGAACTCCAGGACCTGGGAAGCAAAAGAAGGCAGAGAAGAGGAGCCAGAGACCAGCTGTAGGAAATGCAGCTTCAGAGACAGAAGAGGGAAGAGGAGGGGGGGCGGTGGTGGGGAATAGCAGGACAGAGATGGAATGACATCCATAGCGAAAAGGAAGAGGATGAAGCGAGGAAGAGGAAAGAGGATCAGAGTTGGAAGCAAAGAGCACACTGGGGAGATGGAGATAGCCCCAGGATGGGTGGTATTAGATGGACATCAGGAGGATCCAGGTTCAGGGAGTGCAGAGCGTCAACACTGAGGGGCGGGGCTGGCCTTGTCTCCCTGAGGAAAACCAGGGGTCACTTACAGATACACACACACACACACACACACACACACACACACACACACACACATCCCACACCACACAGGAAAGGGGCAGTGAAATGTTTCAGAGCTGAGAAAAGGTTTCTTTTTTCTGGGTGCATGACGGGCTGTGCCAGTAGACAAGGCTTGGGGAGCAGAGAGCACAGTCTGGCACCCCTACCTGACCCTCCAGCATGGGTATGTAGGGCAGGGCAGAGCTTGGACACAAAACTCCACTCACCAATGAACCCTGTGGCCTTGAGTAGGTCCCTTTCTCTTTGTGTCTCAACTTCTCCACGTGGGGTTGTCCCAGTGGCCTCCTGGGCCTCCCTCCACCAGGTAGTAACCTGAACACATGGAGCAAGCCTCCAAACCATCCTCGAAGTAGCCCTTTCAAGGTGCTCCCACTTTACAGATGAGGAAACTGAGGCTCAGTGAGGGGGAGCAGGACTTGCTCAAGGTCACACTGCTGGGAAGAGGCTAAGCTTTTTGGGCTCCCTCCCAGAACGGCCCCAGTTCACAGCAAGCTCTGTCACGCCCACTCTGAAGCACTTGGCAGCTGCCGCCGAGATGCCAAGATCATGGTTGGGGGCAGGAAATGGTCAGAAATGTGTGTACCTTCCAAGGTTCAGCAGATTGGAGAGGAAAGTGTGTCAAGTGCTCAGCATGAACAATGCGCCAATTAACAGGGCAATTTCAAGACTGCAGTGGGGGGCTGGGTGGCGGAGGAGGAGAGAACCAGATGTTCCCCCGCACAGGCTCCAGAGTAACTCGGGTGCCTTCGGCCAGCACACATGTTTTCTCTCCAGTGAGCACGCGGGTTTCCAGTTTTCTCCTCCTGGAAGAGGCATCCCAAGTCCGTATTTATGTTCCGTCTGAAATTAATGCAAGGGAAACTTTCAAATGCGAATCTCACTGCCAGGGCCTCCGGCCGGATATCAAGCCGGAGCTGTGTTTGTTTTCCCTAGGAAGTGTGACAGGAGGGATGGATAATGAGGGGCACCAGGGCTTCTAGTCTCTCCCGGACCGTGTGTGGAGGGGAACTGGCTGACCTGGGCCTCCTCTCCTGCTCTGCAGTCCCCAGCACAAGGCTGAGCTTTCTCAGATCCTCGGGGAC